AATTTAAAAAGTCAACCAATATAAAATAACGTTTCGTTCGATTAAAAATATATATTTTTCAATAATTTACAAAATATATCTCAAGATATTTTTGCAAATTTTGCAAATGGAAAGTATCTTTCAACGAGTACATTGCGGAGACCGAAGTGAAGCAACATAGACGGCGCAGGATGTAAGTGCGGTGAAAATTCTATTTTCAGAATATCTCGCCACGAATTCCTCGGAATATCTTTAAACCATAGCATTTCTGACCCTCAATAAAAATAATTCTATAGATTCACGATGACTTTAATATCTTTCCACTTGCATGAAGTAAAATGTCAGACCGCTTGCGATTGTTTCCACTTGACTTGAGACTTAAATTTAGATCCAAATGTCTGATATTTTTTTTATAGAAATTCGATACACAGTAACCATTCCTATGATTAAATTTTTATAACTTTTATAAAGCATCAATCAAATTCTTATTTTTACAATTTTTTCTTTTGTAATCATTGTTTTATGCGTGACAATTTATTTTATAACAATATGAATTGAAGTGTCTAATCATACAAGAAGAAAAGAAGAAAAAGGAAGTTTAGTATCATTATTCATAATCAAAGAAAAATTAACGTTACTTATGCTTAAGTGAATAAAACGAGAGATCCTATGGAGTGGAGTATCATGGATAATATTGAGTCCATTTGCAAAGTGCCATTTGCAATTGTTCCATTTGCAATAACAGGAACATTGATACTATTCACAACTAAACGAAGTAAATGCTCGTGTAAAGGGTGCTACTATTATACTTGCTATCATTTCATGAACATATTCAATACGACTATCTATATAATTTCCTTTAAAAAAAAAAAGATTTTTTTTTCATAAGATCTTATATAAAAATACAGATATATAAATTGCTTGAGCTATAGAAAAAAATTCATATCCCTATAATCACAACGAATATGAAAAGAATTTACACTTTGCAATTTCTTGATTTCAACATTAACAGTGTTAAAATAAATTAAGGTACAGCAATAATTTTCTACCTATTATGAGTAATATCTATTTTCTTCTAAAAGCCTATATGTAATGTATAACGTAACATTGGATCTTGGATACCAAAAAGAAATCTTGTATAAACATATTAACACATTTACTTTGCCAAATAATTTTCGTCCGCCATAATCCGCCATCTTTGCATAACCGACTTATGACTTTTTTACGAGATGCGACATATATTTCTTCTATATTGTGTCACTAGATCGGTATTCGGAAAAATATTCATTCAAAGAAATTTCGCCAATTTTTATATGCGACGCATATTTTCGTCGAAAATAGGAAGCGATAGATATACGATAACACGATACGCGACACGTCAAATTTCTTGACATTTAAATGTATCAACAAATCGGGCGGCGCCTCTGCCAATTTTAAACCGGCGCGAAATTATGAAATGGAATTATTCAGTTTATAATTTATAGTTTCTATCTATACCTTCAGTTCATATTTCTCAATATGTAAACGTATATCTAAACGCATTCACAGAATATAAGCTCATTATTTCATTGAATGCGATTTATAAATGTAAATTTCATCACCCGCTATTATTGTAAGAAATTATTACTCTTGGTTCATTTTTGTTGTACACGAGGTTAAAAATATGGCGGAAAGAGGAGTGGAGAAATATCCAGATATATAACGTTTCTTAATACATATATCAAATAAAATTCACAGCAATAATTTGTAATTTATATTAACAATGATATATCGATCTGAAAATACACGTGGCAAATACATAACGTTCATCGAATCATTAACTACACATCTTTCTAAAGAATACATATAAAAATTCAAAACTTTCAAACTGCCTTAATTAAAATTCCGATGTTCTTAATCATCGCGTGCATACACCAAACAAACATATATATATTTCCCTCCGTTGAAAACTGATCCATCTGATCAAACTAAAAAAAAAAAAAAAAAAAAAAAAAAGAATCGATAATTATCGGCGGAAAGCCACGTTTCCAATTAGAGTATTCCTTTATATACAGTGGCCGAAGTGAACGCAGTTGATGACGCGGATGCGTTTATCAATCGCATAGTTCAAACAGAGCTTCTATTAAGCTTGGTTAGCGGTCAGGCACAAAGAGTGAAACACGGAGGTAGAACGAGACAAGCTGCTCACGTGAAACTGCCACGTCTATTTGCTCTTCCTATTTTCGTAGCCGTTTGGTATATAAAGAGCCCGTCCTCGGGACATTGCCGAAAGATTTGGCAGCGATCCGCGGTTTTCTGCGCCGCGGCACTTGCTGCGCCGTAGATAGAGTCGCTAGAGAAGACGAACGCGAGCATAGTTTACCGGGAGGAATCGTGGCGGATGTGCCGCGTTCGCCGGGATCGCGCGTACCGTCTCCGGGTTGCTCCGATTTCCCGCGCTCTTAGATCTCCTAGGATAGATCTCCCTTCCGTCCCCCCTTTCTTTGGGATCTCCCTCCAAGCTTCCAAGCTTTCTCTCCTTCGAAGTGGTATAGTGGAGAATCGCGCGCCTCCCAATAATGTTTCCGTCCGATTGTCGTCGAAGGGAGAAGGATCGTTTTAGAAAGATCGGCGCGAATTGAATTGGATTGGATTGAATTCGATTGAAAAAAACTGAAACCCACGTGCTCTGAAGCCGGTCTTTTCGGCGAGTGGTGCTTCCTTGCGACGTGGTTGCCAGCTATCCGGGGTAAATTGGATCTCGCTCGAGACGATGCACATATTTGGCGCTAATGGAAGATAAATATAAAAACATCGTGGTGATAGGATAACGTGATATACAGTGTAGAGGGAAGGATCTTTGGGGAGAAGGATAGAGAGAGAGAGAGAGGGAGAGAGTGTGTGGGGTGGTATTTGAAAATTGGTGAACGGAAGGAATGGTGGAGGAGGCACGTTGATTAGACATAATGGGAAATACGGACAGCGTCCACGACGTGGAGATGAACTCCTTGTCCAATGCAGACAATGATCGTCCTTACATCAAGGTGATTATATAGTGTGATACCAATTTTTTGATTTGTCATTGTTGCATAGAGCAATATTGTTGTTGTCGAGTGAATGAACAAATTATTAACATTTGTTCAAGTGTAAAAAAAAGATATGCATTAATGGTAATTGATAACCGATCTCTTCGAATTGAAATACGTTGTATTTCAATTGAATAGAAATTTCAACAATTAAAATTTCTAAATCGGGAAAATAAGAAAAGGAAAGGGATCAATGAAAATGGAGCAACAGGAGTTTTGTTCGTTCACGAGACGATTACGAAAGAGCATCATTGACAGGTTGAACAGGTTGTAGACCACGAAGCAATATTGATGTCTAGTTTAGCACGAGCGCCAGTTAAACAAAAATGCAAATATATGCAATTACATTTGCAAATATCTTGACGCAGTGATACCATACATTGCACCATTTACGTGGAACAGGAAACTATTTTTAAATCGCGTAAACAATATTTTTATTTTTCATATTTTTCATTTTTTTTTTTCTTTTTTAAATTTACTAATTCTGCTTCTAGAAATTTTCGATACCATCGTATCGATACAATGTTATATATTTTAATAAATTAAACTGATTACTTATCTCGTGTCATTAATATCGTGTATTTGCACGATAAATGCTTATCTCTGAGATTTAATTGACCATGGTTCAATAAAATTATGGATTGAAATCTGTGCGATATTTATCTACTTTGTTCTAGTTGCTATTTTATCTCAACTTATGTTTGAATTTCCCGCCAAATGTACAACAGGATAATTTTATAAATTGTATTCAAAATTTCAATATATTAATGATTAGTTTATCATTTTTTATTTTTTTTATTTTATTCCGTGCCTCTTCAATTGTTGAAATTATTTTATTATTTTTATCGAGAAAGTAAATTTCTGATTACTTTTAACATTTTTTTTTTTTTTTTTTTTTTTTTTTTTTTTTTGGCATTTACCAGACGAGTTACTTCATTTTGACTTATTTTTAAATGCACGTGTGGGAGACATTTATAATCCAGAAACGACCTAGTTAATGGATCAAAATAGAAAATTGAAGTTTTGTTCGAAAAGAGAAGAACAATAGGAGTAAGATACAATAATATACAATAAAAATGACTGGTTGTTTATGTTTACTAGCAATAGTTTCAAGAAAAGATTGGCCGTTCATTCAATTCAAAATATTTACTCTCAACAATCGTAATAAAATTTATCCACGAATCGATTGGCAATACGATTCAAAAGTTGGGGAAAATTGATAAATATTTTTTTCCAAAATTAAGATAATCACAGAGAACGAAGATTCATATCATCATAAAAAAAGATCGTTAAATTTCTTCTTTTTAACAATCGTCAATAAAACGTATTAATGAAAATTCATGCAAGATGATACGTGCATGATGTGCAAAAGAATATGACAATACGGCAAATAATATCATAACTTTTTGATAATTATTGTCTAATCGCAATTTCATTGTTCATCAAAGTAGTTATATACAGTTGAATAATTTGCACGTTACATATAAATTAGGATAATTTCCAGTACTCGTGTATTTCTGTTTCGGTGAGCATATCTGCACCTTATATTCTTTTTTTCTTCAACGAACTAAATACTTTTTATATTTTCGAAACATTAAGTAAAACTATCCAATTACTATCCTAAAGGAGGATATTTTTTTAATTTTTTTTTTCTCCATCAAAGATTTTAATAACGAATGCGATATTATTTTTTTAATTGTATCTAAAATATATAAATAAAATTTCTCCTTTGCGAGGGGTATTTTACATCGAAGAAACAATTAAATAGCAATCATAGATGATCAATAAAATTCTTAATATTGGTGCAATCAAAAAATCAATTCAATTTTTATAAATAACGAATAACAATGATTGAATATTTTCTGTTACAGAGAACACCAATGCGCCCAATGATAGCGGAATACGACCCAAAGAAGCACGGTGTGAAAACAGAACTGTCAGACACGGTTCTAGTCAAGTAAGTGAGAAAACTTGGTTTACGAAACCGACGCGAACGAACGGTTCAACGATAGTCGAGCAATTCACTATCTGCTACCACGACCAATCATCACCATTGCTTTCTTGCCAAACTCAAATGCTCCGCGCTCAAGCAAACGTGAGTGACAATCCGAGGATCATATATTGTGCATTATATCGTATATATGTGTATTCTCTCATTCTCTGTGCTCTTTGATATCATATTTAGTATATACATATACATATATATATATATATATTTCTTCAATATATATATTATATTTGTTTAATATGTATTATATATTCTATAATATTACGAATAACTTCACAACTAGTTCATGCATACCGCCTGTGATCGCTAACGTAGAATTCGTAGCGTGGCTGGCACCAGGGATGCTTGACGATTGTCCGCCGAATCGTGATTGATATCGCTGGTTTGTGCAAAAAAAAAAAAAAACGAGCTTCCATTTTATTTAAACGTGCGGCTGCCATGCACTCGTGTATTTTATTTTCCACTCTTTCATTTTCCCGCTTATTTTTCGTGATCTTTTTCCATCCAAAAGAAAAAAAAAAAAAACAGTTTTTAAGATAGTTTTTAAAATAACACAAGATGATTTTGTAAAAGTAACGTTATATCTTCTTGCATATACCATACGACGAATGATAATAAATTCGTGTTACACGATTATTTAACTTTTGTAATGTCTTTTTTTTCTTATCATGGAAATATTATCAGGATTTTTTAAATATTCATGAATATTAAAAAACAGATAAAGAAATGTGTAGATTGAAAATTTTAATGTGTTAATTCAAATTAAGTTAAATTTATTCATATTTATAATGTTTTGTAAATGGAATATTATTAAAAAAAATTATGAAAAGAGTTTTGGCAGCACACAATGTAGATATTGTTTCGTAGATTTTATTTTATATTAATTATATTAATTTTAAAATCGATATCAATTAATTATATGAGTCATACTTATGCAAATTTGAATATCTTTGTCACGAAATTAAATTAAACTGATTAAACTTCAAAATAGAATTAAAAAAATGAATTTAAAATTCCATTGATATAATTAGTTAGATAATTCGTTAAGTAATACAAAATTATATAATACCAGTTATTATGAAGTAATATCATAGTAAAAATAGAATTTGATAACGATTTTAAACTGTAATTAATAAATAATTAAGTAAATTAATATTATTTAAATATGCATGTATTCATAAAAATATAAATATTTTTATGAAATTTACGCAAGCAATATTATAGTATATATAATATGATATACATATTATTCACTATAATTATAGGTTAGGTTTCAATCCTAATTTTCAAAACATTATTATTATTTTTATTTTCAATTAATAAATTATAACAAGATATTAAATTTAAAATAAGGAACAAAACAAGATAAAATACAAATCAGAGAAGTCACAATATACATAAATAATGCATGAAAGAGCCAATTTTCCGCACAAACGAGCGATTCTATAGATTTAGCGGCAAGACGACGAAATTCTTGGATCCTTTGCGCACAAGATGGAATTCCTCCTTACTGCACTTTTAAATAATATTTTTCCACGGTCTTTTTGTTTCTTCCTGTCATTTTAAATAATTCACACTATCCGTCTTCGTGTTTCTTATTGCGGCGTTACGTTACGTTATATAAGTTAGGTTCTACGTTCAATAATCGATCAATTTCAATGTGACAAATTGTATAACGTAAAAATGATCGTATAACAAGAAAGAATGGATAATTAGAGATCTTGGAATTATTCGCGATTATTATTTTTCGTTTTTTCTTTCTCGATATATGTATATATATATATATATATATATATATATATATAAAATTAAATTTATAATGCACAATTGTTGCCTCAATGGAAACACGGTTTAATCTTTTTTAGTGGAACATCAATTCATGCGAAACACCTGTTGAGTAACACATCGTTTTAATTGTCACGTGTTTGGAAGTTTCATACAGGAAGTAATTAACGAGGCTGACAAGGTCGGTTCAAAGAATATATTTCATAATGGAAAAGCTACTGCTATTATTCTTTTTATAAAAGGAAGTGGATTATCTCTGTGGATTAATCTTTTACGCGCCTCTTAATATATAAACGTAAGCTATTCATTACTCGCGGTAGTCATTAAAATTAAAATGATAATTACGTAAATAGGATTGTAATATTAAAAATTATTAACACTATCGTTATAAGTTTAATTAATTTGAATTAGTAGCGATTTCAAAATTTTATAAGAGGGAAAAAGATTTATATTTATTTCTTTTTTATCATTAAAATTTGAAAAATAAAGAAGTCACATGTTTTTTTTTTATAATAAAATTTAAAATTAATGAAAAGATAAAGAGTAGAGGATAGAGATATATACAAAATATATAAAAAACAAGGTGCAGAAAGGAGAGAATCCTCGCGGTTTCTTCGTAATTGAGGCCATGCGGTGTGCAAGCAAATGTGAACTATGTTCCTCTGAAGGATTCTAATGAAGATGAAATCTGTCTTTACTATATAATATGTGCATTTATATGATTCCAGACTTGCGTATAAACTGCGGGCATAGATTCGGGCTCTATGAAAGTGCTCTGCGAATAATGTGAAAGTGACAAAAATGTAAAACATATAAAAAAAAAAAATAAAAATAAAAATATAAAAATATATATACATATACGGTACACCGTTTTAAGAGAAAGAAACGGCACGGTCTCTTTGATGGACGATCGCGGGTTCAAAACGCGGTTTATATCGAGACGGTTTTGTTACGATTGACGTGTACTGGCGCCGTTCGATTGAGCAACGCTGAAACGCTTCGTCAAACGAAACAAAAAAAAAAATAATAATAACAATAATAATAAAAAAACGAAAAAAGAAACATTGGAATTAAAAATCAACAAAAACGAAAATAAATAAAAATTAGAATCAAAAAAAAAAAAAAAAAAAAAAAAAAA